AAAATACCGTGTACATCTTCACGCATCGGTTACGACGAGATTCGGTACAGTGTACCCATACGTACTGCTCGGTTCTCGCAATTCTCATTCGGTTAAGTACCTAGAGTACAAATATTTTGTTTTCCACGACCGTATATATTGTAACAACGTACACTCCGCGTTATTATATTAGATCCACATGTGGCCCGCGAAGCAATTTTTTATGGCCCGAACAATGGTGGTTAATTTTTGTGTTTTGTTTTTGTTCAATAAAATTTCCATAAAATTTTCAATACTATTCAATTATTTTTTCTTTGTTAATAAAACCTAATCTAACCGTTAATAGTTGTCGTTTATTCTATGTAGTTATATAGTCAGTTTAATCTATAAAATTGTTATTATTATCTGATCGAAGTCGAAGATAATGATGGCTGCACTACTCAGTCATAGGATAAATTAAATATACTTATATATATTTAAAAATTAAAATTTTAAATATATTTAACCTATGTATTTAATACATACGTGTTTTATATATTTAATCTATGGTCATAGTTACTTTGCGTTTGTAGCGATTAGTATTACACCGTGATTACGCCCGTACATGTGACTGTTTGCGTTTGTAACAATTTCATTTTACAAGTAAATTATGGCGACTAAAAAAAGAAAAATTTGTAATGAACATCGTTTTTTTTTAATAATTCTTGAGTTGATTTATACTTTTTCGTCGAAAACAAAGGTAAGCCATTATGTTTAATTTGTCAAAAAATTAAATTTTTTCTTAAAACCAATTTTTTCCAGTAACGTTCGTATTTTTTACACTCAAATTTCTATACAAAATAATCAAATATAATAACAATACAATTATTAGTATATATCATATGTAAAAATTTTTTTTTTAATATGGCCCTTGATAAACATTTGAAAAAAAAATATGGCCAGCGTGGTTCAAAAGGTTGCCGACCTCTGTATTAGAGCAACGAAAACCGTATTGACTGCGATAGACGTGTGCACCGAACGAAAAATTCTATAAATAAAACTGTTGAATTTCAAGTATATTTCATTTCATAATATTCAATACATAAGTACAACAAAACGATTTATAAATTTATTGTATTTAACATTCATCAAATAATAAATAATAATGAATATAGGCTCTAAAAATGACGGTCTTGCACTGGTCGCCGACGTTGTGCATGGTCTGGTTTAGACGCGGCTATACGGGCAACGCACGTTGATTACATTGAAGCACTCAACGTGTTAACAATAATCATAATCAGAGCTCGTAAGTTTAGCATTTGCATATCAATTTTGCAAAGTTGTATTTAATGCTAGATGAAACAGAAATCCATTTCAAGGTACCACGGTTAAAAATGTGAAATCTTATTTTGCATGTTTTCGCATATTTGGCATGTTTTTGTTTATTTGACATATTTATGCATATTTCTATTTTATCGGGCATATTATACAACATTCTATTAGTATCGATCAAAAATCTAAATGGAAAATATATATAAAATTAAAAATAGAAATTGTACTTTTTTTTTTTTTTTTATATTCTTGATACTTGGACATTTAATGAATAAATTTGTCCAAAAGTTTCAGATTTAAAATTAATTACTGACAAAGACGTACATTATACACAGTTCATGAAGGCTCAAGAATAGTTTTAAATAGTATTTAAGCATCGATTTCAATCCAAAACGATTAAATAAAACATGAAAAATCATTTTTTACGTTGATTCATTCCGAGCGCGCACCCGGTACTCTGAAGTGATTTTACTTTAAGTGTATTACGTAGTTGTATACAGTGTATTAATATATAGGTTGGTGTGACAGACAGTAGTATTAAAGATCATCTTATACGCAATTTCAGCTGCATGAATAGATTGGAGAACATTTTTTTTTTCATTTTTTAATAATTATGTAAAGAGGAACAACACATTTCATGAGAACGATGTTTTATTATACGTTCGAGTACGAGATACATCACGAAAGGGCTGAATAAAAACAAATATCCGAACGTTCACTCGTCAACTGGCAGTCATGACAGCACCGTCTGTGGGTTCTGCACGTATCCGACTCATCACTAGGTGACTGGGTTTCTGCGGAAGTTCCGGCTTCGGGGTCAATGGCCTCCGTCGCATGGTTCCTCATATCCCATAGAGTCCAGGAACAGTCTTCATCGGTCGCTCGTGTTACCCGTGACACTTTATACTCCACCATTGACACGCGGTGTTCGTGTCTGTGGAACAACCACCGAGTGTTGGGCGGCGTGGCGTTGAAAATCAGGGTGCTCGAATCCCCGGACTTTTGCCACATCTCGGACCATTTTGAAAAACATAATTTCATCAAAAACGGGAATTTGGATCCTGCAACACACATACAAGCCATCGAGTAACAAACGTTAGACAACAAAGCTCATAACACCGTCACGCAAAACATGTCGTAACAATGGTACAGAGGGTGATAACAATAACATACTCGACGATTCTAGCTGCGTGTGATTCAAAAACAATATAACCTTGGCCGCCAGGTCAACGCTTTTCAATTCCAAAAGGCCGGTCGAACATTTAGCACCGGGCTGTTTTTGGGGTACTGAAAGAAAACAAAACAATAAAATCACTGCGAAAATCAAGTGCGTTGAACGACTAACGAATTGTAATCGATCGAACCGCGTCCTTGCAACCGAGGGCGTTTATCACTGCCCTGCGAATCTGCGAGCCGCTTATATCCAATGGTGTGTTGAAGAAATGCAAAATCTATTGGGCAATTTCAATCTATTTTATTATATTACTGTATTACATCAATGGGTCGACGCAGTGATATATTTAGGATTTTTCGTGGAGGGGGAGAGAGGGAGTATCTACTTACTATATCACTCTACGTAATTAACATATTTTTGGTTGTATTTGTTATTCGATCGAGATCTATAATAAAAAGTAAAATAATTGCTCCCGTCATATCTATCGAAATAACAAAAGGCGAATGAAAGAAGAAGCTGAGGGAAACAACTTACGAACCTCTCAGGAAATACACCATTGCGTCAACTTAAACGTTATAATACACGTTAAAACTTACCTTTGATGGTGCTGCGATTCGACGATCGTTTACAAACTTTTTTTTGTACGAAAACCTGTTCAGTTTGCTGGTATCGTAGTATTTCTGTGTCGGCGTCCCGTCCGACAATCTGATGACTTTTTCTTGGTCTTGTATATAAGAAAAATTGGAATATCTGAAACGTCCAATGGGAATCATGGGATGTCGATAGGTATAATAATTATTCAAGTGCTCGTGTAATCGACGACAAAAATGAAAATGAGAATTTCAAATTTCAAAATAAAAAAAGGTTTAGACTCTCTCTTGACTGAATTTACTATCATATACTGTAATTTCGTTCAATACATTTGAGAATAAAAGAACCAAACACGAGACGCATTGAAAACATACCTGTATGTGGCATAGGATGATGAACGTCTGAGGACCGCCAATTTTAACTTTTATTTTCCTTGGCATGTGTAGTATTATTGTAAATGTTTTTTTAACAGATGGTGAGGATCAGGATTAGCATTTAAATTCAATACCCCAACCCTTAGACTGTTATGATCCAAACATTTCAAAATTGATCGCTTACTTCACTTTCAGCTTTTTTTGCTGATCCAATGGCATCAAGTGCAGGTGGGTCACGCACCGTTTGGCGGCCTCGACGTCGTTTAGCTCGACGAGTACCTGTCCTTTCTTGAGTATTTTCACGGTAGTCACATTGCCGTACAGACAGAAAATATTGAATACTTTATCGCAATTTATATCACCTCCCAGCCCGTGTACAAGCAGCGTTCTTCCGGGTCGAGCGCCCCGTGTCCGTGACGACGACAATCGTCGAAACGATGGTGTGGAAGTATCTCTACTGCCCGACTCGGGTTTTTTGCCGATCCGCTGCACTTCGCTTGACCTTTGGTCCCTGCGAACATCCCTAGCACGAAAAACATTATTATTATACTTACTATAATCGCGGTTGTCTCTTTCGACCGAATATGGACGTGATCGTCCGTCTCGATCGTTCGATACGTATTCCGTAGTCGAACGGCGTCCTACGGTTGCTTCCATTTGTCGGCTAACCGGATGGCGTCTGCACTCGGTGCATTGGCGACTGGCAGGATTCATCAACATGCGTTGTCCGTATTGCTGTTGGTTTCTATTCATCGCGAAATAGTATTAGAAAGTAGTAGTCAGTGACTAATGAAAAGAGAAAAAGTTTCAAGACGACCGTTCTCAACTGTGAGCACACGTGGAATGAGTCTAGAAATCTATGAATGAGATGAGATAGGCAATCGGAGTATACACATGCGTTTTCATGGTTTCGATGAACCGAATGTTATTTAGCTGTTTAGTAAATGGCCGGTAAAAGAAAATTACACTATATTAAAAATAACCATTATAAAAACAATCAACTTTACAATTTATTAATCGTTAAAAAAAATATTAAATTATAAGTAGAGCGCTGATTTGAATGCACTTAAAAGTATCGAAATATGCCATATAATATGCAGTAAAAATCATGAAAATATGCAAAAAATATGCAGTCAAAATCATGAAAATATGTAAAAAATATGCAGTCAAAATTATGAAAATATGCAAAAAATATGCAAGAATTTTTTATTTATTTAAAATTTATAATTCAACTTATAAAAATTAATTACTTAAATACTTCATACAAAAAAATTTAGGGAATTTTTTGAATTTATTTTTTTTTTAAATTTTATTTATTTTTAAAATAAATAATCATATGCATTTCAAGTTTATCTTCTGTGAAGATATGTCGTTTATCGGTTAACATATTTTTAAAGACTGAAAACGAACTTTGATGTCGACCAAAGTTATTGGGGCATATTTGAAGTAAATGGTATGTCGATAATCGACTGACACAGCAAGAGCGATTAAGTTTACGTCGTTATCGATTATTTATTTTATAACTAAATATATATATAAATTATTATTTAGTGACTATGAAATTTATTTTTAACTTTTCTATTAGACAAAATAATATTTTATACATTTTTTTTTAAATTTTCACTTCAATATGCAATAAATTTTGAATTTTGTCAAAATATGCAAAAATATGTAATAACCTCTAAATATGCAGAAATATGCAAAAAAAAAATTTCACCATTAGCTTCAAATTATGATGATTCGTGGAGATAACTGACAAAAATCCAAAAATATTGAAAGGAAAAAAATATGCGATTGCATAGAAATCCGCGCTCTAGTTATAGGGTATTATTCGTATTATTTATATAATATTGTAGTATTATAAATAATCAGCTAATCATATACTTAACATTAAAAATAATTGTATATCATTAAAAAATTATAATATTTTACAATTTTTTAAGCACTTTTTTTATCGTTTTGTGAGTTGATGTTTTTTTGGGGACCTTCAAGTACCAGCTCGAAAATAAAGATTGTAAGACTACTATTAACTGGCACATTTAACTTAGAAAAGTACTAGATCTGCGTAGGTCTTTATACACATTCTCGTGTATTTATGATAGAAATGTTGTATGTGTACCCGGCTTCGTTATGTAAAAAAATTTAATCAGCATGTTTGCATTTCGCTAGTAAAAAATTACCGAATCAGCATCTTATAAGATTGTGTCGTTTGTGCTTTGCGAACGGTGAAACATAGCCGGTAAAGCTAACGAAAATTATTATTATTTTTAATACGTATTTGCTGTGAAAATGGTTTATCGGTTTGATATGAATGATCATTGTAATCGAGAAAATCATGAACACAACACAATAATTGTTTTTGAATAATTGATAATTTACGTCCAATCAAAATGGATGGTTGAAAAAAAAAAATTTAAAACGAATAACTTCACACCAGTACATTATGAGTTAACCTTGTTAATTCAATCGTTTACCATTGATTACTTACGTTGTCCGTATATTCAAAAGTATTTACATATGTAAACTGAAAATCTACAGAAGTAAATTTACATTTTTCTCGAGGGTGCCTGTATGAAATGTTGGGCGTAATCGATTAATTCACGATTAAATTACGTAATCGATTACGATTACTTTATTAAATTACATTAATCATTAATCGTTTAATCATCTCTCAAAGTAATCAGTAATCATGATTACATATTTATAATCGTTAATCATTATCGCCAAATTTATTGCAAAACTGATTTTTTTTATAAGATATTACTTAAAATAGTATGAATTTCCAAAATATCAACGATATTAAGGTCTATTCATTTCATATACCTTATCTTATGCATGTTATAAGGTATTTTTCTATAGATATAACTTCATTATGTACCTCATATCTACTTTAATTCGGTAAACGTACAATAAAATATGAGTCGGTACCTATTTAGTTGGCTTTATAATTCCGTGTTCATTGCATTTCGTAATTTTTGGCTTGATTTCGTATAATACATATTATATTACATTGTACTATACACCTAAACTTAATAATATAATGAGTGGCGGTGAAGAATATTCTGTGTCTCAGAGCTTTAGCATGTCTTTATCTGTACCAGCTCCGTCTCCTCCTCCACCTCCACGGTCAATTGATGGTAATTTTTATATTAACCACTAGGCTAGGGGTCCATGTATATAAAACATATGTGTATACGTTTTCATTCAACCCATTTTACTGTCCATCAAGTTAAAACAAATAACGTGTGAATTACGTGTATCGGACTATAAATAATATAAAGTATACGTATGTATATCACATATATATATCATATTGTTAATTCTACGAATATAATACATATATTTATAATTAAACGGCAGGGAAATTTAAACAATAAGACAATACCTCTGCGTTATATTAATTTTCGTTATGTGGAATTTACTGTCTTATAAATTTTTACAAAACTAATAACAATGAATACGAAAATTTGACTACGTCAAAAAAAAGTACGTCTCTAAAAACAATTATTTCTATGATTTCGGAATTAAGTTATACTTCGTTCACTAACTTGCCTTGATTGGCGAATAGGGACAAATGGACATAGCCATTTGGACAAGGCCGTTTGGACGTCAAAAAAAAAATATATATAAAGGTATATTTATAAAGCGGCCCTCACACGATCAATATCACTGACAATATTTTTGATACTGACAGTATTATGTATCATTCTACAGTATCATTCTTACAGCAAAAATACACTTTGTAATATTATATTCTTTTTATTATAATCATTATACTACTGAATTCATATACATCTTATGATTTATTTTACATATATGTCAAAACTGTTTGAAAATATTTTACTTCTATTAAATGATTAAAGAGAGAATTGCAATAAAGAAAAATATATTAATGCATCAGAAAATACTATATATTATTATTATATAAATAATAAATAAATAATAAATTATATATATAAATTATTATGTAAAATTAAAAAAGTAATTTTTATTTATTTTTTATTTCGACATAAAACGAACAGTGTATTTTAAAACCCCGCGCGAATCCAAATCATGTGATTTTGATGTTTTATAAAAATAATATTACTTAATAGTTGTCATAGACAATCTCGAAAAATCAATTAACGTTTTTCTTAGTTACCACTGGAGACAGTTGTTGATACCTCGATGGTAGAATTATTCTTACATTTTCCGTCGATTTCGTTAATTTTGTCTTCCGTATTACGAATTTGTTTTGTAATTTATTCGTTTCAAATATACCAAGAGTATATTTTATTGTTTTTATATTTAATTTGTTGTGGAAGATAAATTAAAAAACAATGAACAACATGGAAGCAATTTGTATTTGTGATATGGTCGGCCATCTGAAAGTTAAGAAAATGATGTATACGAAGAAGAAATGTTCGCTGTGTGATCAGAGATGTCTTTTTAGAATTTTGAAAATGGTTGAATGCATCGGTAAGGTAGACATATATGACTAGAGATAAGATTTGGTACAAAAACAAAAGTTTCTAAAAAATACAATTCTATCATCAAAATCCTCATTCTATTTTTGGGGTACTCGCGGGATTAAGTAAAAGTACTGTATTCTATCTAAAACTTGAATATTCCGTTTGACAGCGTGCAATCGTATCATGCACAAAAGGTGTTTTGAGGTGGCTAAAAGTCAGTTAGTGTACGCACCGTCCGGCGGTATAGTGGTGGACCAAAACATCAGTACCCTAGCCACTCTTGACCATAGACGCCAAATACTCGGTGTTACTGCAAACACTGAAAAACAAAAGGCAGAAAACCGCGGTCCAGAGTTA